AGGTGGCGACTCTGTATCTGGCAAAGCAGTCCATGTTTGGCACTTCTTTCAAAATCTGTTTTCTCAAAACGATTTGTCGGATTTGGACTCTTTGGTTCAGATTTAGAACCGTGACAAATTGAGAGTCCGAACTGTAGTGAGCCCAATATCGAACGGAACGGGGAACCTCGTTCCTCCCGGGGCATTCGGGGGACGTCTACAATGCCATATTTGCACAATTTAATGGACAAAATTTTATAATTCTATTTCTGCTTCTGGCCCCATATAATTAAATATGATTTGAATTCAGTCTGAAGCCGTAAGTAATCTCATGATTACTAGCCGGTTATGATCCAAACCTCTAGTGGCAGGTTTAGGTCAGGATAGAGTGGTATCAGAGCCAAGTGTTAATAACTCATACACATGTCCAAATGAGCAATAAGATGTCTAGAAAAGACATAAGGTACATTCATTTGATAAGTATATCACTACAAGAAATTGCAGTTTTGGCGATCACTCTTGGCAACGAGGTCATTTTTTCGTAGTAAAAGTCATATTTTTTGCAACACAAGGATCAATTTCGTTGGTAAAGGTTAGCCTTTAGCGGCGTTTTTCCTGCTCGTCGCTAAAAGTACAAAACATTCACTTGGTGCCAAAAACTGGGATGTGCGCCAAAAGCGAATTAGTTTTAGCGAGGATTATGTGTCGTTGTTAGGCTCCTTGTATTGCCGACAATGACTCTACGTTGGCAAAGAGCTTTTCTTTTAGCAACAAAATAAATTTGTGTCGCTGAAAGTCAGTCACTTATGAAGGTTATGCAACGACATTGTTTTGAGGTGTTCTTAAAAAAAAACAAAGAAAAAAAAGCCACTCCAAATCTTTATAAGTTAAATAAATAAAGATACATATCAGTGTAAACCCTCCACCTCCCAACTATGTCTCTCTCTCTCTCTCCCCCTCCTTTCTCACAGTAGCAATACGGTTTCCTATAAGTCTCTCTCTCTCAATTGCACACGCAAACCCTCCTCCATTGTTGTTGCTACATTCCACCGTTGTATTCTTTCAATTCTGTCGATTACCTTATTCCAATGTAAGTTTATTGTCTCTGTTTTCTATCGCTATCTCATTCTGCCTCTATTTCTTATCTTTTTTCTTTCCTTTTTTTTTTATACGCATTTTCAAAACCTTGCCTATTTTAAACCCAAGTCATTACCCCTCAAAGACTGCAGATCTATTTATGTTAATGAATTTTTGAGTAATTTGACTTTTTGATATGAATACATTGTTTGTATAAAGTTATGTGTTTTGATGGGGTTGATAATTGATCATGTTGTTTGAAGAGATGTGATGAACTTTAACCTTATTGTCATGAACTAGAACAAAAAAAAATTTTGGGACAGAAAGAACAGTCTGACATCTCTCAAAATTTCCACTTCTACATTGACCTTTATGTCATATATTTTTTCCATTTAATACATAACCTTAGCTATTAAGAAATTTAGTTTATGAAATTTATAAATATAAAAGAATAAATTTTAATTAAGAAAATTTTGTTAAAAAAAAAAAAGGAAATTTATGGTACACACCTATGTATTATACACCCTAAATATAAATTATGTAGGGTTTACGTATAAAGTTTTGCAGTGATCAAATTCATGGTGAACATGATTATGAGACTTTGCGGTATTTTTGGTTATGATTGAAAATAATACATGTTGGTTATGAGATTTTGTGGTATTTTATAAAGAATCAAAATAACCTTAATTATGAGATTTGTTTTACATTTAACAAACATCAATATATGTATATATATATATATACATATGACAAGGGACAACTTACATTTTTTTTTTTTTTTTTTTGAGAAGCTAAAAAAGTTGGTTATTAGAGAGTTGCAGAATATATTTTAACTTATATATGTTAATTGTGACATAACCAAAAGTGTCATTATCAAATCACTTTCTAGCATAGCTTAATGGATCATAACCAAATATCCTTGAGGCACTACCAAAGGCCTCTTTGGTCATAGCCAAATTACAATCACAATAGATCGTAATCAAATCATAACCAGCACCACAATATGTCATAAACTTTAATCATAACCAAACACCATACATTATCAAAGACCTTTTCGATCATAACTGATCATAATCAAAATAGCAATCACAATAGGTTATAACTAAGTTAACCAACATCACAATGAGTCATAATCAAAGGTCACAACGGACATAATTGGGGCATATGACACACACCGTTTTAAAGGTGTATGTTATAAAATTTCCCTTTTTTAATTATGAATTTTCAACTTACTAGAAAATGCACAAAATTATGTCTGTAATATTGAATCCTAGTTTGTTTCTCATTCTTAAATTGGAATGTGATAATTTATATCGATTGATAAGAAAATTTTGCTCACGTCTTGCCTTCTGGAAATATAATTCTAGTTTTGCATTATAAATTCAATATGTAAGTAAATTCAAAAATAACTCTGGCTAAGGGTTTTAGTTGAAGTCTGAAATACTACGCCCTTTTGGCTTTGAACCTAAATTAAAAGAAAAGAAAATGGTAAATATGGCTCTTTTTGTATATTCAAGAAATTAGCTTCTTATCCCATGATTATTCTTAGAAACCAAATGAGTTTTTATTTGAGCACAAGTTTAGATGTGTCAAACCTGAACTATTAAACATATTCACACTATATTAAAATACAAACAAAATGTTTTTTTTTTAAAGGAAAAACTGCCACATAAAATATTCCAGTGACAAAAAAACTACAATAATTAGAATTTTTATTATCAAAATAAAAAAACTCCCATTGTAATTCCTATCCTGCCACTGTTGGTAATAACAATAAATTACTTTTATGGAAATTGTAAAGAATTGATTCATATGTATATCAATTTTTTCAATTAGTCACATGTTGGATTTTAGGAGAAACAAATTTAAGGAAATATACATGTATGCGATTTGTCTAAAAAATTGTAAAATTTATTATCCCACATGAAAAATTACATATGAGGTGAGTTTGAATAAAATACAGTTAGGTACATCACTTTTTTGTGTTAGTGATTAGTGTGGAGCAATGTTCCATGAACATTTAACAATTGAGAGCTACCATACAACACATATTTTTTCACATGAATTGCTTATTTGTTAATAACTATTTCACACTTCATTTCATTTAATTATATGCCATATATATATAGTTTCAACGATGTCGAAAGATGACAAATTATTTCTAGAAGATGATGAAATATGAGAAGGAAAGGGCAAAAAAAATAAAAAATAAATAAAAATTGGAAAAAACAAAATCATATTTGATGCCCCAGGGTTAAAGACCATCAAGCATTCAATATTTGGTTCAATTCAAAAGGACAATGGTTAAAATAGTAGAGTGGGAAAGAGAAAAGTGGGTAAAGGTGACAATGATGAGACTATCAACTGCTTGAGGATGAAGAATGACTAAGTACTTCAAGTGACGATGGTGAGTCTTTTGATTCTCAAACTATTGAGGCACTACATGTGTGTATAATATTTTATTGTATTCTTTAATAAAATGTCATTTCTCTATTTTTTTTTTTTTACTTGTTATATTGCTTGTGTTATTTTCTTTTATTTAAATTTTTTTTTTACACTAATAATTCATTTTTAGGAAAAAAGATTAGGAATTCTAAATTAAGAGTTCTAATAGCTTTAATTGATATATAGATCCCATATAATGTGATGTTTTGACTTTGTTATTTTATTTTTTTTAATTTTTCACATCGTTAGTGTTTTTTTTTTTTTTACTTGTTATATTGCTTGTGTTATTTTCTTTTATTTAAATTTTTTTTTTTACACTAATAATTCATTTTTATGTTATGACATGATATTCATATGGGTTCTGATAAGAAAACAATTGGTCTGTATCTTGCCTAGTAGCTTGATGAACACCATGGGAAGAGAGAAATACCACCGATGAAGATATACACTTACTCTACCATGACAGCCTTTAGCAACACAAGCTAATCATCCATAGAACACACTCGAGGTGTCAGCCCAACCTACCCATCTTCACACCTTATATGCTAGGCTCGATCACGTCCCTACCTTAGCATCTCAACCTAAGCAACTTTCAAGCCCAGTTACTATCACTAACAGTGGATATGAGAAATATATGACCCTTTACATATACTTAGAATTTATTTACTAAATATTTATTTAGTGCATTTGTGTTTTATGTCAACTAACTTGAATAAAATTGTGGTCGTAATAGCATCAATTCCAGTTTTGAACAAAAAGCATGTATGAGGCTCGACCTGAGGAAAGAATGTGGAGTGGATTAGAAAGGAATGTGGTAATTGAATACCCGTTACACTTAACAGTCTGACCAAAGCAATAAAAAGGGATTAATCCACGTCACTATCAGTTGTTCTTCGTCGATTAATTCGAGTTCATGCCCCAATTCGAAAAGATGGATGAATAGCTATTGCTTTTAGGGTCAGAGACAATGTTACAAGAGTTGGGTTAATTTGATTAATACGTATTATACATTCAACATGTTATTCATCTTAATCGTAATGATATATTTTTGTATTGAATTTTATTGTTGACCAGGCTTAAAGCATAGTACAATGCAAGGCGTTATGCAGATGTTGGCTGCAAAAAAGAGGATAGATCTAGCTTCCAAGGTTAGTTCCAAGCAACAGTATTGAGGACGACGGGTGTAGAGGGAGGATGAAACTTCTCTTGATTGAAATAGAGGTAAATTTAACATCTAATTAAACTGATTTATTTTATTTAACATGAATACCAACTTAAAATTATATAAACTTAGTAGATGCAATACACTTCTATAACATTGTAAAACATAACACCTTAGGTTTGAAAATGGGTGTTATGGTGAAATAGCCATCGAAATAATAAGGAATCGATAGGAACACCTTAGTAAGGAAAATGTCTCTTGTAGCAACTCACGGAGTAATCACAATGCTCTTGGTTTTGAAATTAATCTCAAACATGCATTTTTTGAATACTTTGTCTTGAAAATAAGCGTTTGGAGGGGAAAAATCATGAAATAACCACGAAAATAGCTGATAGTCTGTTTGAATATGTTAGCAAGAATAAAAGTAACTTGTAGAAACTCATAGAACAACCACGAGACTCCTCATTTTAAAGTTAAGCTCAAACTTGCATTTGTCGAACACTTGAGCTTGAAAATTAACACTTAAAGGGAAAATTGTGAAATAGCCTTAGAAATAATTGGAAATAAGTATGAATACCTTAATAAACATAAAAGTAACTTGTTGAAACTCACGGAACGATCATGGGCTAGAGATATTAGTCATAAAGAAATTAATTGAGGATCCAAAGAGGCAACAAATAATATATCAATCCAAATCCTTGAAAATGAGTTGATAACATTTGTAAGAATAGTTGTTGTTGTGTTTAGGGTTCATGTAAATTATGGATTTTGCTATTTTTGTGTTTTTCCAACTGGGACTATAAAAATATACTTATATATTTAATGGACCCTACTTTTACATATATATACATTAACAAAAATTTAATTATACCATCGCAGCATACATTCACTCTCTAAATTAACAAACACTTAACACACATAAATGGGTCTCACTTTTTACTCTTTTTGTCATATAATACACATTTTAACACATTTTTTTTAATTACACCATTAGAGATACTCTAAGATAGTCCGTTACAACTAACACTGTAGTTTGTAGCTAACTAAGTGCTAGAGCTGTCAAAGATATTAGGAAAAATTACAATAATAATAATAAATTTTTTTTTGAGTTTTATAACAAAATAAATCTTAAATTTTTAATTTTATCAATTTAAATTCTGAACTTTTTATTTGATCAGTGTGTTTAATAACTAAAATACTCTTTTTTGGGTCAATTTTACTAAATGAAAAGAAAAAAATAATTTAAATTGAAAATAAATAAAAAATTAGAATTTAAATTAATAAATTAAAATTTCAAATGTTTATTTTATTTGAAAAATTGCACATCAGTACAAGTTTTCAAAAAAAAAATGGAAATAGGTAAAAAAGTTTATCAATTTAAATAATTAAAATTATAATTTTTTTTTATAAATTTGTAAATATTTTGTAAAAGTACCATATATTTACAATTTTTTCATTTTATTATAAGGCTAAAATTATGAATTTTTTATTTTATTTTTGTCCCCGCATTTTATTACAAAATCATTGCTAGTATACACATTAGGCGCATGACTCTCCGATGATGATGCAACTGCTGATGAGTCCTGCTCTTAAGACTGAACTCCTTATCAATATTGAAAGTCGCAAATGAGTGACTCAAATCAATACAATGGGGCTCCTTGGATTGCTCTAATTCAGTTTTTGAACTGGACATAAGCCCCTACTTTATATATTGATTCAGGGAAGTTAAATAACGTTAAGTACTCACAGGCTCTTTTGAGAAGTGTGTGTTTTATTTAATTTTAATTTTTTTTTAGATAAATTCAAAAACTTTATATTTATTTATCTTCTTCTTTTTCTCCGCATCTTAGTTCTTCTCTTTATCTCTATTTCTCTAATATCCGACAAAGATCACGACCATGCTTTTCTTTTCTTTTTTTTTCTCTTTTTGATTTACAGTCACAGGCGACCGGCCATCACCATTGATTGGGGTTCACTGGCAATCACTGAGCACTAACTCCTTACTTTGCGCTCACAGATGGCGAAAGAGATGAGTTTCCAACGGAAAAGATGAGTAAATCTATTCAAATCTGATGTAGATCTACTTAAATCTACATCAGATCTGAGTATATGTATATCAGATCCTGCTAGATTTAAATCAAAAATAATTGTCAGAGCATAAGTTTCTCTCTATATCTATCTTTTTTCTTGGGTCTCTCAGTTTTTTTACTCATTTTTTTATTTTATTTTATTTTTTGTATTACACACTTCTATTTTCCTGTTTTAATAAAGAAAATTTTCAAATTATGAACAAGTTGTTTTCGAATTTTAGTTAAAGACAATTAAAACTGTAAAATTTTATAGTTTCAATTTTTTTGGTGCTAAAATTTTACAGTTTCATACCATGTTTTTCAGTTTGATTAATATGTATAAATGCTTAATAAAATCTTACTTTAAAACTGTGACATTTTACATTTTCAAAGGGTACTTTTCAGTTTGATCAATCAGAGATTATTTGTTTAAAACCTACGAAAATTTAAAATAGCATATGTTTTTTTTTTTTTTTTTCATTATTGCTATTTGTTGTCATTACGTTTTTTTGTTCTCTCAACTTATCAATATTTAGCACATTTTGTTATTTTTTTCGCTCTAATTTCTCAATTTATTTATTTTTTTTCCGGTAATATTTTGGACATTGTGGTGAGTCTCCAGCTATATTCTTGACGTCCCGTGAACATTCTAGACATTCCAGTGACTTCTGATGATGTTCAGAACACTCCAGCGATATTCTAGCGATTTTCTGGTGATATTCCGACGTCTTCCCAGTGATGTTGCATATTCCGATGAGTCTCTGGTGATCGTCTAACAGAAGTCCAGCAGTGATAACATGTAACATCTTCAAATTTTTTTTTTTTAAAAAAATAAGAGTTTTTGGTAACAATTAAAAATATGTAAGACTAATTAGCGCAAGTTTTGAAATTAGATGGGTTTTAAATTTTATCTATGGGACCTATCGGTAAGTTCTCTTTAAAATAATAATAACAATTAAAAAAAGCACCATTCACTATATTGCCCAAAATACTTTTTGGGTATGGCCCCTTGAGTTAAAAACTTCATTGAAGCCCAGTTTCTAAACAAATTTTCTTATTGGGCCGAAAGATCAAAACTATAAAACCAGGCCTTGACATCATTCAAAATGTCAAAAAGATAAATAAGAATAGAATGCCATTGGAGGGCGATTCTATTTGCACTCAAAAAATTATTGAATATGTCAAATTTCTTAATATACTCTATCAAATTATTTAAAATTATAATTTACTCTCAATACAATCTATATTTTTTTTCCTAAATTACCCTTTAAGGTACACCCAAATAATAAACAAATTAAAAATCCCAAATTACACCATTTAAAAACCCTTTAAAAAATCCTTAAATAGATTTCTCATTATAGCTATTTCTTTTGTTCACATATAGGAAGCTATTCCTTTTGTTCACATATAGGAAATGACGACATCAATGAGGGAGAACAATAAAACATATGCCTATCTTCATCACTTCCTCCTCACTCTCTTCCAATCTGATTATATGATTATATAACAATATCAAATATATATACATACACATTCATTTGAATAGTCTGGAACAAGCTAGGGTAACAATTAAAATACAGAACATCTCCTAATTTAACCAAATGAACCCATTGTGGTAATACCACTTCCCGCTAGCCCAAAAATTGAAACATGATAGCTCTGATACCAAATTATAACGCCCCCAAATAAATGACATAAGATAACCGATTAACCCATCCATCAAACAATTCCAAGGTCATTTAACAAATCTCTAAATTTGTATTTCTTTTATGTAAGAGATTTACAAAAGAGATCCACATTAATTACACATTCAAACTCTTCTAAGTTGAATCCATAGCATGTGCGACCATACAATAACAAGAGATAAACAACAAGGAAATGCCTCGAGAGCGACAAGTTCTATGGCTAAAGCTTGGTTACACAAAAGTTGTTAACTAACCCATACAATTTAAGCCCTTAGCTTGTCAGAAATAATCACAAATAAAAAGAGTCTCTCACTCCCAAAAGACTTTCCACATCCTCAACTAGGCCGGATCGCTACATCTTTTCCTGCACAAATCCACTAGAGGTGAGCACAAAGCCCAACATAGGTATTTTCACAAAGTATATATGCTTAAGCAGTCTGATATATATACACACACACACACATTGTAATGACCTGAACCCGCTCCCGTGGGTTAAGGACATAACCGGCTAGTAATCATGAGATTACCTACGACCTTAAACTAAAGCAAACGTATTTTAACAGAGTTAATGGGGCCAAACGGAAGCAATTTAAAACTTTGTCCGTAGAGTTGTGCTTACATGGCACATCGTAACAACCATACATATGCACATTAATAACTCACAACAAAATATGTACTACATAAGGTTCTGTACATATCGGATCATATAAGTCTAAGTCAACCCATCACGACTATATACAACAGATGCAAAGTCGTCGCCAACATGACAAAATATAAATACATAACAAAAGGATGAAGACAGGTCTCGTGCGTGAGACACAAGGGCTGACTCTCCCAAAACCTTTGTTGTTCCACATAAACTTCACTAGGGCTGGGTGCAAGAGTTGGCCATAAATTGTGAACATTAAAGCTCCTTGGTGAGTAATTCATGAGGTCTAGTTGTAATTTTGTGGATTCAAGTTTGATTGATGGTCAAGAACATGAATTAGTTTGATTATAAGGAAATTGAGTTGTATTTGTTGAATTTAAAGTCAATAAATGCATGCATGTAGGAAATTACTATGAATTTCCATGTTTGAGCATAAAGTATGTAATCCATGTTGAGTTTTGATTAATGATCATGCATTTGATCATCTCTTCACCAATTAAGTTGAGGATATTGTGTAAATTTCACATGTAAGTGCAAATCATGGGAGTTTGAGTCTTGCATGTTTGAATCTAGTGTGTTGGTGATGAGTTTGAGTTAATTTGAGACATGCATGGGATTAAATTGTGAAATTGAGCTTCATTGTGTTGTAATTTGGTGTTTATTCCATGTTAGAATATGTATATGTGAAGTTTGAGCCAAAATCATGCATTTGGAACCTTTGAACATCAAATTGAACCTCGAGAACATGTTCTGGATTTTCCAGAATTTTGATGTCCGCTCGAGCAGGAAAACTGCCGCTCGAGCGTGAAATTCGTGTTCCCAGTATTTTCTGCAGACATGGTGTCCGCTCGAGTGGGGAAGTTCACGCTCGAGCGGGGAGCCATGTAGAGAGGCCTTCCGCTTGAGCGCCAGAGTTCGCGATCGAGCGTAAATTTGACATATCCAACACTTTTGCAGGCCTCATGGGTCCGCTCGAGCGAGGAAGTCCACGCTCGAGCGGGGACCCTATTTTTTGAAATTTTGAAAATGTATCATGTGTTCCGTTTTCCGTTCTCTTTCACTTGCAAGCAATCTTAGGCGTACATTGAGCATTATAAATGAGTTAAAGAGATAAGAATGAAGCCTAAAGAGGAATATGTGGATTTAGGAACTGACTGAATTGTTTGTGACCCTTATGTGTTCATGGAATGCGTAGGGTCGAGCTCTAGGGCAAACCAACCAACCGATCACTGTGAGTAATAGCTTAACAGAGATATCTGAAATATGTTGTTGCCCAATTACTTACTTCTATGTAAGTTTTATAAGTTCATTGATTCGATTGGTGGACAATGTTTGCTATACCAAATGAGTAGGCTAGAGGCTAGTCTGATCTGAATAATAGAATGAATGGGCCAGAGGCCGTTTTGGCATGAATGGATGAGCCAGAGGTTGTTTTGGCATGAATGGATGGGCCAGAGGCCATTTTGGCATGAATGGATGGGCCAGAGGCCATTTTGGCATGAATGGATGGGCCAGAGGCCGTTTTGACATGAATGAATGGGCCGAAGGCCGTTTTGACATGAATGAATGGGCCGGAGGCCGTTTCGACATGAACGAATGAATGGGCCAAAGGCCATTTTGTCATCTGAATGGGCCAAAGACCGTTTTGACACAAATGAAAGTTTGAATGGCCTAAAGGCTAGTTTGCTTGGAACCGCAGTCACTCGACATAAAATGTGTATATATGTTAAATAGAAATATGAATTGGGCCTAAGGCCGTTTCAAGCATGTTGTTCTACATATCGTCTGTATAGCTTCTTTAATTGATATTATTCACTAGGCTTTCGTTCACGCTCATTCATGTGTTTGTAGGTGAGCCAAGAGAAGTCCAAACCCGGCCCCAGTGAAGTCTGTGTAGAACAACAAAGGTTTTGTGAGAGTCAACCCTTGTGTCTCACGCACGAAACCTGTCTTCGCCCTTTTGTTATGTATTTATATTCTGTCATATTGGCAAAGACTTTGCATCTGTTGTATATAGTCGTGATGGGTTGACTAAGACTTATATGATCTTATATGTACAGAAGCTTATGTAGTACATATTATGTTGTGAGTTATTAATGTGCATATGTATGGTTGTTACGATGTGCCATGCAAGCACAGCTCTATGGACAAAGTTTTAAATTGCTTTCGTTTGGCCCCCATTAACTCTGTTAAAATACGTTTGGTTTGGTTTGAGGCCGTAGGTAATCTCATGATTACTGGCGGTTATGTTTTTAACCCACGGGGCTGTAATATCCTTGTTCTGTAGTATGCTAATTGGTCCTTAACATGAATATGATTATGCGTTTGATATGATTTTGTGTGCCATTATGTGAAAATATGTGATTTTGAATTTCTGTCTGTTCACCGTAGGAATATCTGTTGATTATCTGTTTTGGAAATTAAATTGAAGGCCATATCAGCCACAGAACCCGAAATTGATTGTGCCATTGTGATTAGCGTAATTTTTAGAGCCTACGGTGGAATTTGATTGGAAATTGATTCGGATCAGATTAAATTGATTAAATTGATCAATTAGTGTCCAATTACTTTATTATTATTGTATTGGAATTGGTGGAATTGGTTGTAATAGAGCACTACACCCTCAATTCTCTCTTTAGCTTCATTTGGCTGATTTTGAACTCAAAGAAGAGAGAGGGCCGGCTTTAGAGAGAGAGAGGGAGAGAATTGTGTAATCTTGGCTCAAGGTTTGGGGAATTTGAAGATTAAACTCAAGAATTTCCTATAGTTTGGAAGATTGAGCTCCTAGGTAAGGGAATTCATGAGTTTAATGTTGTAAACTGTGAATTCAAGTTTAATTAATGGTCAAGAA